TCTAAGCCTCACTCACCCTGACATGATAAACACCTAGTGGTGGTACAGAGGGTCCTTCATGCTTTGTTTTCCTTTTGTGTAGGGACTTCAAATTACCCATGTGACCCAGGTTTGGATTACATTCTGGCTAGCTGCAGGTGGCCTTGAACCCTGTGAGCTCTTACATCCACTCTGTCTTCTCTCCCCTTTATAAACCGAGGCAGGGCTCTGTTCTGGTCTTTTACAATTATAATTACACACTTTTTAAAAATCCAGAGAAAGGCTGGGCATGGTGGCTCATGCCTATAATCCTAGAACTCTGGGAGGCCCAGATGGGTGGATTGCTTGAGTTTAAGAGTTTGAAACCAGCTTGAGCAAGAGTGAGACCCCATCTATATTAAAAATAGATTAGCTAGGCATTGTGGCAAGTGTAAGTCCCAGTTACTAGGAAGGCTAAGGGAAGAGAATCTATCACTGAACCCAGGAGTTTGAGGTTTTTGTGAGCTGTGAGACCGCGGCACTGTACCAGCGTGCCTGTCTCAAAGTAAGACTTTGTCTCAAAAAAAAAAGTGAGACTGTCTCAAAAAAAAAGATGCAAAACCCTGGCCCTCACCCCAGCCAGACCTACTAAATATAAATCTGTAACTTCCTAAGAATTGCAGGTGATTTGGTATAAACATTAAAGTTTGCAAAGCCCCAGCCATGAGCTGGTTCCCTCTTTGGTCAAAGAGGTGCTCCCAGGATTGTGTTGAAGAGCAGCTGAGATAATAGAATACACATGAACATCATTCTAAACTAAGCACTGCAAAGATGCCTTTCCAGTGTGAAAGGCAGTAATGGTACTTTATTATTATTATACAACATGCCTCTCAGTCATTGGTAATCACTGTAATGGGACTAGTCTCGCTTGATCTTTGCTCATGATACTCTAATAATATTTTCCAGATTATGACCTTTCAAAGATGAGGGATTTCATCAACCAACAAGCTGATGCATATGTGGAGAAAGGCATTCTGGATAAGGAAGAAGCGAAGGCCATCAAGCGCATTTACAGCAGCCTGTAAAAATGGCAGACGATCCAGGAGTCTTACAACTGTTGGAGAAAACATAATATAGCTCAAAACACTTCTAATTCTGTGATTAAAGTTTTTTTGGCCCCCAAGATCATTAGAAAGTGCTAAATTTACAGTAGTTAACCTTTTAGAAATGGTTAAATCATAGCTTTTTTTGCCACAAAAACTACCTGAAAAGTAAAGTTGTATGCAAGCTGAGATTTTGTATATAGAATCCTTATTTCCTCAAAGATGTACATTTTATAATCAGATGTGTTGCTCTGGAAAAGCCTTTAATGGACTGAACTGAAAACTGAACTTTCTTCCCCATCTGTCTCTCTCTCACACACACACACCCCTAAAGAATTAAGGGGGTTCTGTTTGCAAAGCATGCCAGGTGTGAAGCACCCTGTAAATATGTCTGTAACAAGATGTTTCCATGAGTAGGCCCCTTTGGGGAGTTGAAATAAATTCCCGTTTCCTCAAAGCCTCATGGCATGAGCAAAGCCATCTGCTTTTTTGGCCGTTCTTTTTTAGCTAGCTCTTTCTGAGGCCCAGTGGCACAAAAGGAACCAGAAAAATGGGCATCGAATTTGCTGGATTTATTAACAACTTCCCCTTGCTGTTAACATTTCCTATTAGTGAGTTTTCAGACACTAAGTTAAAGGGGGTTATTTATAGATTCTCTAAGAAGACAAGTGAAGTCCTACGCAAAGTGAAAATGTATGTTGCATCTGTCATCTACACGAGATTTGACCCAAGGGAAGGTGTTTCAACAGAGAACTTGGCCAGGCAGTTGGATGGAAATAGAGATAAAAATAATTCCTTTCAGGGCAGCGCCTGTGGCTCAAAGGAGGAGGGCGCTGGCCCCATATGATGGAGGTGGCGGGTTCTAACCCAGCCCTGGCCAAAAACTGCAAATAATAATAATAATAATAATAATTCCTTTCCCCGTGAACCAAAGAGGGTAAAGGAGGTTCCCCAGAGGAAAAAGTTAATAAACTTCAGCTCCCTGCAGCTCCTCTTCCTCAGCCACCACCACAAACCCAGCCCTGGAAACAATTGCTAAGTGGCCTGAGTTAACATTCCTTTTGAAATGTTAATGGCGAATGTTCACAAACCAAAAATGCTTTGAAATGTATTATTGAGCGTGAAATAATTATATAATTTTTTTCTATATATCTGCTCTATATCTTCAAAATAAGAATGCTTTTCGTATTAGCTGTCACTATTTGAAACAGCCTTCTGCTGCCTAAGTGGATAAATGGCTTTCTTGAACACCCTTCCCTGGTGTTCCACCTTCGGTAAGGACCAGGGAACTTACAGGGCTGTTTTTCACAGGTAGGAGACTGCTGCCACTCATTCCTGTCCTCTCCAAAGAGCTGCAAATAGAAATAAAAACTAAAGCCTGACATACACACAGACTAAACTCAGTATGATCTAGAGAAGCCAGTGCCCACTGGGGAGTGGGGAGAGAGAACTAAAAACACCTCCCACGTAACACTTGGCAAAGAGCAATGCAGTCGGATCGTAATGAGTCGTCTTTGATAACGTAACTGACTCCACTTCAGCCACATCTAAACCGGCTGCTTCTCCGTCAGACAATAAACTGGCTCTGACTAAAGCATTTTATCCATTCACTTTTCTATAATGTATCTAATTATCTATGCAGTATTTTTATTTTTTTGAGATAGAGGTTCACTTGGTCGCCCTGGGTAGAGTGTCATGGCGTCATAGCTCACAGCAACCTCCAACTCTTGGGCTCAAGTGATCCTCCTGCCTCAGCCCCTGGAATAGCTGGGACTACAGGCTCCTGCCACAATACCTGGCTAGCTAGCTTTCCCATTTTTAGTAGAGATGGAGTCTCCCTCTTGCTCAGGCTCATCTCAAACTCCTGAGCTCAAGTAGTTCACCCACCTCAGCCTCCTAGAGTGCTAGGAATATAGGTGTGAGGCACTTGGCCTGGCTATGCAGTATTTTTAAAAATAAGAAATTTATTTGGGGAGTTTACTTAGCTTTCAAAGCACATTGGCATTCATTAGCTCCTACCAATAACCAAGACAAAAGGAAGATCATCAGTCCTGTTTTAGGAAAGAAATTAGTTAACAAAGGGAACAAGGGCACAGGATATGTTCCTGTGGCCAGGAAATGGTAAAGCTGGGACGGAACCTAAGTTTCTTGTCTCTCAGCCCACTCCACAGTGATTCTCCACACCAGGTGGGACTGAAATACTTTAGTCGGGTTCAGTTCAGATGTGGCTATCGAGACTTCAAAGTCAATATTACCTTGAAAAAGAGTGATATTTTGGCTAGAAATTGCTAAGAGATATCTTGGGCAAAAATAAAATACTCAGAAGAAAGTTCTTGAGATTATGCTCTTAATTTCAAATTCAAGCTCATGTTACATCTTTTGGATGGTGTCTTTGGATTACTTTCAAATTTCAGATCATTTTTTGGCAAACAGCGTTACATTTTTAAAAGCACCTAGGCTTCTTGCAGAGGTTTGCCTGAGCCTTTCCTTACAACTCTTTCCCTTCCCTTACTTTTTTTTCTTTTAGTTTCCCCCTCTTCCAGCTCCCCACAGTTCACTTAATAGTTGATGCAAGAAAACACAAAAGCATGATCAAGGTTGCCCTTAGCTCAGTGGTGAGGGTGACGGCCACATGCTCTAGGGCTGGTGGATTTGAACCCAGCCTGGGGCCGCTAAACAAACAACAAAAAAATAGCCAGGCATTGTAGCAGATGCCTGTTGTCCCAGCTACTAGGGAGGCTGAGTTTAGAGAATCACTTGAACCCAAGAGTTTGAGGTTGCGGTGAGCTATGACGCCATAGCACTCTACCCAGGGTCACAAAGTGAGATTCTGTCTCAGTTTAAAAAAAAAAAAGTATGATCAAGAGAGCACCCTCTTGCAAAGATTCTATAATAACAGGAGAGTAGAAAAAGACAGGGATTGTGTATGTTATTAACAAACAAGAAAATCAGCAAGACAAAGACTGGGAGCTACCGCTTCCCACTGATTCACTGGGTGTTAGTCTCAGGGGCTGGCTCTGCACAATTCTGGTTCCACAAGCTCTGCTATATGGACACCTAAGGGCACCTGTGTCTTGCTTAATGAAAGTTCTGAGAAGGCAAGACAGGGAGGAAGAAAAGAGGGAAGAGAAAGGAGTAAGAGAAGAGAAAAAAAAGGGAGAACCGAAAGAGGGAAGCAAGGCCCGGTAGTATGCACCTGTAATCCCAGCTTGGTAGGCTGAGGTGGGAGAATCACTTGAACCCAGGAGTTCAAATCCCATCTGGGCTCACAGTGAGACCCTGTCTCTAAGAAATTAAAAAAAAGGAAAACAAAAGTCCTTTCTGCCCCAGAGACAGACTCTTCTTGGTATGTTGGGAAGGGGTTAATTGTTGTGGAAGCCTACAGACTTACTTATCTTAGTAGTTGAATAGAAATCAAGAGCACATAAATATTTAATTGTAGATGATATATCACTTAAAGTCTAGTGCTGTAACCTATACAAATGATAAAGGTAAGATAAATTTTGTGAATAAAAGCATAACTCTCAATTGAAATGAGTATACTGACTATGAAACACTATAAAATTACTTAGCGGTAAAATTTCAACTAGAATTAGAACTCAGCATTGTGTCAGGCTATGGTATCATTTGTTCTTTTGATTATATTCCACGTTTTCAGAAAATCTGAAATACATTAGGTCAATTAAAATGCCAAGACTTAATAATCTAAAAGCAAATCAAATGTAATTGATTTGCTTTAAAAACAAATTTTTTTTTCTAGCTGGCACTGCTCTGTTGATGATTTCCTTTTACATTATTAAAACTTCTTTCTTCAAAATTGCACTCATGAAATCATTATAGTGGTGGAGAGGCTGTCACCATTTAAAATACATAATCTAATTTTTAAACAAATATTTAAAAATCAATTTTATTTTCCCATTTGTTGAAAAAAATGAAGACTCAACTTTGAAAACATAGTTTTATTTTCTCCATTCAGAACTTTGTAGTTTATTTTTACAAAATAGCAGACAAAATTTGGTTCTTTATATTTATACAGAATATGTAATACATATCGAAATATATATTTGTAGCACTTAAGTTATAAACACACAGCAAATTCAGCATCACTTGAGCAGCAACCGTGTTTTTCACATAATTAGGATTTCATAAGGAGATAAACATTGTTTTTAGCTTAAATATATAGTCTTTGATGCTTTATGTCAACCGGTATTTACAAAACCTAGTCTGAAAACTACCACCACCTACAAAAGTGAGGAGCTTTAGGATACAATTTTTGCTATCATGCCGTAGTAAAGACTTAAATTTATAGAAAGCCAGAGGAAACTAATTACTTCAGTGCAATTGCAGTAGGTAAATTATGATTTCAAGAGGTACAGTATAGGAATCCAAACGGGATGCTTTGGGGTATTCAGGGCTTGGATCCTTACTGGTCCAACCATGTCTTCACCCAGGTTTGAGTCATGTCCCCAAATCACCTAACTGTGATACAGGGAAGTTGCATAGGGATTTTCTTCATCTCTGAAAAAAAAAAGAGAGAGAGAGAGAGAAGTAGAGGATAAATGATTTTTCAAAATTATATTTAGAAAATGAGCACATATACATATTATACAACTTAATATATACTTGCCAAAGAAGGGCAGGAGTGTATCAACTTAGAATATATTATGCATAGCTGTATGAATAATCGAAACTTACTAAGGCTTGGTGTTTCAAACAATCAGGTGTCCCTTATTGTCTCCATTTCATTGGTATCTCAGTTATTGGAAAGAATAATGGGGGTTTTTTTATTTGTTTTTGGAGGGGAGACAGAATCTTACTTTGTTGTCCTCAGTAGAGTGCTGAGGTGCCACAGCTCACAGCAACCTCAAACTCTTGGGCTTAAGCAATTCTCTTGCCTCAGACTTCCAAGTAACTGGGACTACAGGTGCCTGCCACAACGCCTGGCTATTTTTTGTTGCAGTTGTCATTATTGTTTTAGCTGGCCCTGGCTGGGTTCGAACCTGCCACCTTGGGTGTATGTGGCTGGCACCGTAACCACTGTTTGGTCTGATTTAAAAATTTTTATAATACTAATCTTTATTTTGTATTTTCTTTCTTTTTTTTTTTTT